TTACATCTTCTGAATTCTATTCTGAACTCTATAGTCAACTACATTCAAATGTGTATTAAGCATTTCTTACATCTTCTGAATTCTATTCTGAACTCTATAGTCAACTACATTCAAATGTGTATTAAGCATTTCAACTTGGAGGGGTAGGAAAGTATGAGGTCCTAAACTGCCTTCTCTTTCTCCCGAATATGCTATTTTTCAGCATGACACATTCTTCATACCAATAGGATTGTTTAAGTTATATAGATACTCATTCATTCAAAAGCATATAAGCATTATATGCACTCTACTAGGTGGAGATGCTAAAAATAGGAAGAATAAATAGGATTCTCTAGTTCTTATCTTCAGAGAATTCTATATCTTGAGAAGGAAAATTAAATTAGTAAAGATAATCTTGAAGTTCCTGAATGGCCTATGTTATGACTTCACTTGCTATTATTTAACAAATAACACATACTACTTTCTTACCCCAGAAGACCAAGCTTATTAAAAGTAGACATTCCCTTTTTATTTTATAGCATTATCATCTGGCAGCATACTGGAAACAAGCTAAATGGTGAGGAAATGTTTACTAAATGAATGAAATAAAAATATAAAAAAATGAGCAACCCAAACTTTTTTTTTTGGTTTTTTTGAGACAGGGTCTCCCTGTAGCCCCAGCTGTCCTGGAACTCACTATGTAGACCAGGCTGGCTGTGAACTCACAGAGATCCGCCTACCTCTGCCTCCCAAGTGCTAGGATTAAAGGCATGCGCCACCACGCAATCCAAACTTTTATCTCCTTAGCTAACATCATTCCCATAACCCAAAATCATGTGTCCAACTGTCTGTCCGTCCTTCCTTCCTTCCTCACTCCCTCACTCCCTCCTGTCCCCCCACCCCCCAACCCTATCACTGAGTGCCTACTATGAGTCAGGTACTTTATTAGGAAAATAAAGCTGCTTTTATATGACAGAAAAATGTTACATTAATGAAGTGGGGGGGAGGGAACAACCCAATAAGGACAGCAATTACTAAGGGTAATAAGAAGGGGTTAGCCCTGGTGAAGAATAGTCTCTATACCTTACAGCAAAAAATAAAGTAAGTAATCCCACACTATTGTTTGGGAAAATATTCTGGGCAAAGGGAAAGGTGTACTAGTAGACTCTGAGGTAAGAATCTGCATAAAATGTTCTGTATTGAAGGCTGTCAGGCTTTCTAAAGAGCAGTGAGGACAATAAACTGGTCAACACAATCTTTCTTTATTTAAATGCATCCCTTAAGCCAAAAGATCTAAAATGGAAATATCAATATGAAGGCTGTTAGATAATATGAGCAAGAGATAACGGTCACTTGAATTTGAATGGTAGCAGTGAAGTGGTTCATTCTGGATTCTTCATGATACAGCATAGAATTTGTTGTTAATTTGAACACCAGTATCAGTTTAGATACAGAAGAAAAAGAAATGCCAAGAATTAATCAGGATAGGGCATCGTGGCACAGGCTTTAATCTCAGCAGAGGTAGGTGGATCACTCTGAATTCCAGGTCAGTCTGATCTACACAGTGAGACCTTGCTTCAAAAATAAATAAATAAATAAATAAGTAAATAAATCAGTTTTTTAACCTGGCCAATCAAAAAATTAAAATTACAAATCTCATGAATGTAAGTTTGAGATGCCTGATATCAAGAACAGTTGAGCATCTGAGCCTGTAGAACAGAAAGAGTAATACGGCATGACCCTCAAACTCAATGGTAAACTCTGAGCTTAATCTTCCATAACTAATCTGCTTAGGGCCTGATTATATTCCCTATAGTGGGTATCACTATTTACTTAGCACCCGGACAGTCATTTGAATCCCTCCCTTTACCTTACTCATAGCTATCACTCAACAGATTTGGAGATGTTACCTCCTAGAATGTCTTCCAGTTTCTATCACTATGTCTGGTTATGTCATGCATCTCAAACTCTGATCATTAATTTAACTCATTCAGTAGCTTCCATTTTGTTACTGCCAGACTGGAAACCCCAAATTTGAACACTTAATTTCTCTAAATAAACTGAACATCTCCTGGGAGATAAAAAACTGAATGTCTTGGTGTAGCAGACAAAGCCTTGTGTACTTGCACTTTTTTCCTCATATTTTATATATATATATATAGATATTAAATTTT